GCGTTTTCGTCTTTTCAGGCGAAAGGGTATTTTGATAATTTCACAGTGCAATTAAATTTGCTGAGGTCATAGCCTTTATTTAATTTATTAGAAAAATTAAATAAGTTAAATTACGTTTAAATATGTGTTCGCATATATTTAAATAAATTATCATTATTGTTAAATGTTAATATATATTAAATATATATTAATTGATTTTAATTGAAGATAATGATGAATTAAAATAAATATCTAATTGGGAGTGTTTGGAAACATGGGCTGTTTGGGTTGGAGCCCAATCTTATTCCATAAGGGAATAGGGCGCAACTAAAATATGACTATAAAAGAAAAAGGTGTGCGTGCTTTTAAAATTGATTCATTTTTATTAAGAAAGAAAACACACAACCCCAAAACACTCTCTCCCATGCCACATTGCTTATTTGCTTTGAAATCAAATTCTTTTGATTTTTCTTCTTTGTTCTTAAGGCTAAAGAGGACCTAGCAAATCCCTCTTTAGTTCCTTGCGATTTTTTTCGTGTGGACTTCATCAGTTCGATCCTACACTTGGGTCGGTAGCAAAACATGTTCAAAGATAAAATTGGAGGAGCCTCCAATGTGGGTATGGTTCCTAAACTTCAAACTAATTTTCTGCAGATTCTTATAATGTATAAACTATGATTTTTGTACCCGAATCTTGGTTCTAAGGAACGATCCATGTAGTTTATGTTTTTGTTTTCTGCTGCGTAACCGGGTCGTTCACTAACACAAATGTGGCTTTATATCGTTCAATATTATCATTATAGTCACACTTAGTCTTAAAGACCTATTTACGCATGAATTTTTTATAACTTTTAGGCAATTCAACAAGTTCCCATAGTTATTTTGCTCCATTGATTTCAACTCATTTTTCATAGCATCTATCCATTTAAAAGAATTGACTCTTTCAATGGCTTGTGAAAACGGCCACCTGCTCTTGGGGTTTATCTAAAACCACATAGGGAGATAAACACCAAGAAGAAAGCAAAGAGAACACCAAAAATCCCACCTATCATAGGACACCTCCCTAGGTTAGGATCATTAAAAAAAAAAAACACGAGATCAAACTCTTTACAAATGATACAAATACAACCAAGCAAAAACCATTCTGCGTAACCCTCCGTAATCCAGTCTTCAAACAGTGTCGAGAACTTGAGGAACGTCTTTGAAAATAGATCTAGGGAGGCCCCAATCATTCGCCAACTTCCTATTGCTGTAGATATACTATATAACTTGTAGATATACTATATAATCATTAGGAATAACATGTTTTCTTAGTCTTTGAGACCTCCTTATTGCTATTACTTGTGGTTGATCTACAATAGGTTCATTAATTATGACTTCATTATAAGGTTGTTAATTTATTTGTTGTTCCTGTAAATTGTCAAGATGTTCAACAATTGGAGAAACAATAACTTTAGAAGAAGTGGTGGGTATATGGACTTCTACATTAACTTCATCATTTGTCACATTACGTGGCTCTCCTTTCCCACTAACTTCACCATTTTCCATGAACCTAACATTTCCAGACTCTACAATTCTCGTACTATGGCTAGGATAATAAAATTTATACCCTTTACACTTTTCTAGATAACCAATGAAAAATCCAGTGGTTGTTCTTGCAGCTAATTTCTTTTCAAATGGATTGTAAATTCTTACTTTCATCAGGCAACCCTAAACATGCAAGTGTCTTAAACTAAGTTTCCTTCTAGTCCAAAGTTCAAAAATGTCTTTGGATATGCTTTACTAGAAACTCTGTTTAACATGTACATGGCGGTTTTTAAAACATGCATCCACCATGATAAGGGTAAAGATGAATTGCTTAACATACTCCTAATCATACTAATAAGAGTATGATTGCGCTTTTCTACTACACAATTTTGTTCCGGTCTACCTAACATAGTGTATAGAGTACATATGCCATATATTTCTAAGAATTTAGCAAATGGACTTGGACATGTTCTGATTCAGTATGTTTTTCATAATATTCACCACCCCTGTCTAATCTAATAATTTTACTTTTTTATCTAATTGTCTTTCAACCTCTTTAATAAATACCTCAAGGGCATTTAAAGATCGAGATTTCTTCATGCAATAAATAAATGTATCTATAACGTGAAAAGTCATCAATAAAGGTGATGAAATATCTTTCAACCTCTTTAATAAATACCTCAAGGACAATTTTATTTTGCATGGTAAAGATATTACTCACTAATTTATTTGAACCAACCAAACACATTTCTTAAACATTCCCAGTAATCTTCAAGATGATCTATCTTTCGATTAATATAACATCCCTTATAATAAAACATTATATGATTCAAACACCTCCAAAGAGTTAAAGTCACCAGTGATGTTGAAAACTATGTTTCTCTCCTGACACGTCTTATTTTATTTTATTTTATTTTCTTTAACATTGAATGATGGAAAATATGTTCTCTTATATGGGTTGACTGAGGACCACTTTCCAATAAACACTAATATTCTATCTCATTCTATCAAAGAGTTTTTTTATTTATTTATTTATTTATTTTCAATTTAAAGAAAACTACCACCATTGCAATTGACCAGTGGGATTTTAGTATTATTTATTGGATTATTATCTAAAATTATATATATATATAGCAATCATGTAGGCCATATAAGTCTAACAAAATGAGATAGAACAAAAATACATGAATTTACGAGATTAAAAAAAAAAATGCCTACATCCTCGAGCACAACAATTAATCTGCTAATGTAAGCAAAAATAATTACAAAGTCAAAAATTCTTAAAACTTTGTTTGGATGCGTAAAACTAAACCAGAGGGCTTTCCTAAACCGTGGCCAATTGTTCAATAATCAACATGGAAGAAGGAGACTATTTACAATGCTACTTGTAGATTTTATGAAGTCCCATATCTTTGCAATAAATAACAAGACATGTAAAGTTTTATAACTTTACCTAATTGTTAAACTTATGCGGAATTGATTAAACATGTTTTTTTGGTGCTTGCGGACTGTTCATTCATCATCAACATAAAGTAAACATCTATGGCATAATGTAAAGCACACAAATCATTTTTACATGGTTTGACCAACTGCCTACACCCATGGAATCAAGTCCACACAAAGCAAATTTATTATGATAAATATTTATAATTCAATTACAAAGCTAAAGTCAAGCATCAATTTTAAGAACACTCCCTATTGTCACAACTATTCAAACTTCACCCTTTGGTTGAACTTCGTTCTACCACAGCCAACTTTTCACCAAGAAACCACCTAGACAACCTTGAGCTCCTCTCAAGGTTCAATGCTGAAGACAGACTTCAACTCCAGCAACTCAAAACTCCTCAAAACATGCAACAATGGAACCATGTTCCAACACTCATACAACAAAGGTTAAACAAGGTATTTTAAAGCTTACCAAAGCATAATAAAACCTGATTAAAACAAAGAAACCTCTAAGGATATTCAAAGAACAATTAGAGATATATTCAAGCTTCAAAAACTAATGCAATGTTGAAGAGCATATAAGCAAAACTTGCTCAACAATGCGAAAGACAGTCAACCGACAACTTCTTACATGTTTAATTATTTTGAGAAAGTTCTACTACTTTCTTGGGACCACTCTAAAAAGTTAAACGAATTTTCCAGTACACCACCTGAGCTAGACCACTCACACATATCTTAGGTCTGGATAAGATCCTAACAACTACTGAAGACACGACAAGTGTAAGAAGAATCTAACTGAGCAAGTGTCATCACACTAGATTGGTGGACTTGAAGCAATCTTGTACAGCCTTCAGCCTCTCAACATTTGGAATCTCTGTAAAGTCTATTGTTTTGACCAACTTTGTGCAGTGACAAAGTGTTATGATTTTCAAATTATTGAATGACTGCTGGAAATTACAAAGCAAATTAGTATACAAAGAAATTAATGTATGCCCCTCCCAAAGATATTCAATGCGGCTGCAAGACATATTGAGTTCAAAAAGTTCCTTGGGATGAAAAGATGGGGCAAACAAGTTAATGGGCATTCCAGAGATGTGGAAATTATTGATTTTAAGGACAAGCAAAATAAATCATTCATATAGAGAGAAGTTGTTGGATTAATGCATTTGAGTGGTGATGGGTATTTGTGTATATGTATGATTTATAACAATATTATACCTCATTTTCATTTAAATATCATTGTACTGCCACAGTCTACTCCATTTGCCAGGCAAATCATGATCATGCATCCACAATCTATTATTTGAAACAGTTAAAAGAGATTTATTAATGAGATCACCTATTCCAATGTGTGGGTAAAAACCACAACCAGCTAGCATTTCCAGGACTCCATCCTCATCCTTTCCTTCGATGGAGATGCCATTGATTCCATCTTTCCGCAAAAGAAAAGTTCAGAAGTTAAGCAATTTCGTCAATGGTTACAACCAGATAAGTGCATTAGATCATCAATTTTAACCCTTCTGATGATTCAATAATCATTTTGGTGAACCTTAGAAACAAACAGTAAATTCTGGAACCCAATCTTTGGGCTTGAATTGTCTAACTCCACAAGTTTAAAAGACTAAGAGTATGATAGGTTTGAGTCTTTGAGTCTTAGGATTCTTCTCGCAACAATTGAAATTTAATTATCAATGATCACTTTCACTAGACTGCATTTGACAACATCATTGGTATCAAAATGATCATTAGAAACAATATAACTATTCGTTTAACTCGAGGGAAAGTTTTTAGCTTACCCTAATTTGATGATAAACAGCCCTAAAATATAGGAACAATGGTCCAAAATAAATCAACTAGTTAAATAGGATACCAAATCTATCAATATGAGTGAACAAGTGGCAGGACACCTGGCACACATGTTCTCTTCCATGGAAATCAAAACATCTATGCTAGTACCACTAGTGAGTGCTAATAATCCAACAGTTTGTCCATTCTGTAAATAGGTATGTTAGTTTCCCTATCATTTTAATTTTGTATATGAATGTCGTTTAAATTCCCTGTACATTCATATAAGATGTATAAGAAATTAAAGTCCAAGTGTTATTCCTCATTAGTGCCTCATACTCATCTTTCATAGTAGTAGTCCATTCAGGACTTGCAAGAGCGGCTAATACTGCCTCAAGTTCAGGAAGAAAAACAGTAGTTGCAATATAATCTGTAAGTAGAGTAGAGGCAAGATCTCTGGATGTTTTAAATCTAGTTAACATAGGATAGACATTCAAAGTAAGAGCTTTTGTTTGTACTAAAGTGAAAGCAGAACTGTCTACTGGTAGTTCAACTTCAATATGGCAAGTAGGAAGAGATAGATCAGAAGGTATAGTGTGAGAAGTGAGTAGAGAAAACATTAGATTTGGAAATTGGGTTAAAATCTGATTTAGGAGAAGATGAATGTGAGAGAATATTAATTTATGAATAATCGAGAGTATCAAATTTTGGAACAGAACTGCAAGAGTTAAGAATATCATATTTTGGAACACAAGTAGAAGAAACAATAGTAAAAGAATACTTACTAGTGTGCAAGTCAGAATCAGTCTGCGAACAAGGTACTTGCTGATGAGGACTAAGTTTAGCAAGAGTTTCAGAAGAAACTTGAACATAAGGAAAATTTATGGAGAAATAGTTTCAGATAAAGAAGATGTCGAGCAAGATGAAGATATAAGAAAACATTTTAAAAAAGGAAACTCAGACTCATTGAAAACAAAACTTTAAAATAACAATTATTTCATTTGATCTCAAACACTTGGTACCTTTTATGAAACAAACTATGCATGTATATATTGACATTATTAATTAGTCTGAGCAGGAGAGTGAAAGCATAATCCAATAAAGCTCAGTTTATAAACACGTAGCATAGTCCATATTACAAAGTTGAGAAATGAAAAGCCTGACCACCGTCATGCTCTATAGTAAGTGTAAAGAAACAAGATAAGCCCAAAAAATGAAAAAGAAAAAAAGAAATATGCCTTTGAAGAAGTTGAAAAGAGAAACTAACGATGAATAGTATCAGAACCCACCCTTACCGAGTTGAACTGGTCCACTACTGCCTGAGAACGAGCTGCTACATCTTCAGTAAATTCCTAACTCACATGTATACGGATGTATTAGAAAGTGGGAAAATTTCTTTTAAACAAAAAATGCTCCACAAAGAGAGAAAGAGGAAAATTTTTAAAACCTTAATTGTGTGGTGCTATAGGGAGCTTAACTGGAATCCTATATGCAACCTCTTTCCACCTCTATGGTAAGAGATAATAACTGGACGTACGGTGAGGAACTCTTTACAAACAAGCGGTTCTACTCTGTGTAAGAAACCACAACACAACATCCATTATACTTTCCAGATTTATAAAATAGAAAAGACAAAAATAGAAAATAAAAAAACATATAAAAACATATATGTCATACACAAGAAAATGAAGCATTCAAAATAATCATAGTCACATTGGTTTTGTTCTGAGTCAAGAAATGTGCAAATGCATGTGTAACATGAGTTACTGGATTCTTTTCACCTTGTGCAAGACTTTGTGGCATTTAATAAAATACTCGAATGTGCAAGACTTTGTGGCATTTAATAAAATACTCGAATGTGCAAACTTTGAACCAAATAAATATTTTTTAATTTGATTTAACAAGAGGATGTCAGCGAGGTGGGACATTAGGAAGAAAAAACCATAAACTTGTAAGAAAGCAAAGAGAGAGAGAGAGAAAAGAAACAGGGAGAAATAGCAAAATACTAAATTCCTTTTTCCAATATTCTTGATTTTTGTTTATTCTATCTTTACTATTACCGTATAGACTCTTTAATGGGCTTTAGAAAGCTTGAAGTACAAGAACAATATCACTTTAGATAAAAATGTTCCTGGTTTGCTGAACAATGAAATATCCCAAATTTCTATTTATGATGTTTACAAGAAAAACCTTAATAAAATTAAATATCACATTATTCTAAGATATATACATTTAAAATGTTCACATATACAAAATAAGTCTGAATAAACAGATGGTGATTTTTCTTATCAGAAACTGATAATATGTACTAGTACAACAAGAGTTACACCGGGGGACAAGCTGCCAACAAAAGAAAAAAAAATCAGGGTAGGGGTAACAAATCTATACAAGAGAAGAAAATAAAAACTAGGCGATGATAATTTTCCTTATCCTGGCCAAATGAAACCAAACTACACATATTAACCCAAAACCCCTTCCCAGTTAAGATGTATAAACAAAAAAGAACAATCTTATTCCCGAAGAAAAGTTAAATAGTCAAAATCTATCACATAATTCCCATTATTACTTCTCTTTGCTTAGCAAAAACAAATGGTGATGTCGAAACTTTAAATATGATGGTTCCTCATTGCATTCACAGGCTTTCACAGTGTCGGTGAGGTGTTTCAAATAACAGAGAAGGAAAAAACAACTAAAAAACTGGATTTCTAGAGCTTCAAGTATGGAACCAAGTATAATAGAAGTTCCGAAGAAAAAAGCAGAAATTAAAATTACAATCGACAAAAAGATGAAGATGTTTAGAGGATGGTTGAAAATACAAAATTTTTGAGTTGAAAATGTATGATTGCCTGAACTAGCATCAAAATACACAAGAATTTATTACACATTACATATCTATGAGCTTTTAGAAAAAACATACAATTTGCTAATAACAAAAACTGCCAAAGTTAAGGCAAAGTAATGAAAACAAATTCTTCTAACTAATCATAATTTATCCTGAATTTCCCACTCAACTTGATGTAAAATCAAGTCCAATAACGAAAACGTGAAAACCTTTAAACTTCAATAAAGATCTAATGAGATTCTAAAGATGAAAGCATTTCTCAAAACCGTGAGGAACAAAAGTAATACTTCATTATCCACACCCACGACCAAATGATATAAATATTTACAAATATACAAAATACTTCTCTGAATGTCATGTCCCAACAGTGAGAATATTCACTCATCAAAATTTCAATCATACAAGTGTATTGAGGTTTACCTATTCCAATACGGATATTTCGAAGGGCAAGGAAAACACCAAGAGGTGATTCAACAGCAAAGAATGTGTCAACCTGATATGTAAGAATTAATGTCAAATCAGTAACAAGATTCATCATCTTAAATTTATAGCTCGTAAGAAGTTCTGTTTCAGACCTTGAATTCAAGCTTTGTGTACTTAATATAAGGGGTATAACTCTTTGGTTCATCATCTAGCATAGGTTCAAGCTTCTCAGAAATGGGTTGCTTTGGCTCAATGGCAAGTAACTCATTTTTATCGGTTTATGCAGCCAATAAAACCCAGAGATACTAACACACAAGAGCCCCTTCCATAACATAGAACCAAAAATAGGATGTGAAGATCAAAGATTAACCCAATGCAAGCCCACACGTACCTCTACCTTGATTGTATGATTCCAGCTCTGCTACTTTGGCTTCCAGGGAATCAATCTGAAACACAGAAAATTTCATTAAAAATTGGTGTTTATTATTATGAACCAAAGATATCACAAAAAGTATCTGGCAAGAAAAGGTCAATTTTATATCCTTGGCTCATTAAACAAGATACGACCATACTTATGAATAAAAGACAAATGCATATAGTGTTCAAAGAAAGCCAAGAAGAAAACAGTACAAACTTGCACCTCTTTCTTCAGAAGATCAATTGTGTTGTTGTCCTTATCACATGTATCTTTGGACTCTTCCTCAGCCGCTCTCGCAAGTATACCATCCAGGACACCACCGTTCATGTGGTAGCTCATTGAAGCCAGCCATATCTGATGACATTGTGTCACTAGAACTCTGAACCAATTGATCAGTATCTTCTTTAGCTGTTTGCTCAAAGTCCATAGCTGCTGCAGTATCTGACACGACAGTACCCACAAGAGAGGAAAAATCTTCAGCAGGTGCTTCCTGGTGCTCTAGATGAGCTGATTGTACACCCATCTTGTCCTCGTCAGCAGACCCCACCTTATCCTCAGTTTCATTTGTCTCAGTGGAGCTTTTACCCTTCAAATCGGTAGAAGAGTCACCATTAGAAGGTTGATTGTTCAAAGCATGGGAAGATTCTTCAATGGTATCTTCTTGTTCCTTGTACATCCAATCCATTGGAAACGGGGATGATAGATTCTCTTGATGGCAAAAAATGTCATACAAGAGGACACTTCCCAAGGAATGACCATATACAGAAACCTAAACAAATGTTAATATAAGCTAAATTGTCACTTAATCATTACAGCCTAACAAAGAGATATCAGCTGCATACCTTTCCATCATAACCAGGATTTCGTTTACGAAATTTCAGATATAACCGATTTAATTGGTTTGAAACCTGGAGGAGCAGAAGTGCATCTTCATCAGTTCAAACTTCAAACAAATTTCAAATTTCAACCTTAACAGACTGAAATATGACTATTTTATGCTCAAGACATCAGCTACATTTTTCTTTTTTTAAGACTACAAGGAATTATAGCATAATAATTGCCGAAAGAAAATGTGATTGTTTATGCTCGAGACATCAGCTACATTTTTCTTTTAAGACTACAAAGAAATATAGCATAATATTTGCCAAAAGAAAATGTGACTGTCTATGCTCAAGATATCTCCAACAGACCAATGTTCCAGTTTAGTGTGCATAGGATGAAGAAGCAATTTTAAAACTTTTTTTGATAGGAAACTTAAACGTATACTGCTTTGGAAAAACTTAGATAGTGGATCAGGTATTCACTCTACAAAACAACCCATCTAATTATGGTCTATAGCTTTAGAAAAATGTCATTTTAAACAAGGAACCTGGATTGAAAGAAGCTTTATAGTTGAATAATGAAACAGCTTAGTCCTTGGGAGATAGAAATGAAAGAAGAGATGGTGAGAAATTGGAAACAAGATAAGCAGTATCGAGTTGATAATATCCTGACAGTAGATGGGGCTCATGTAGTATAACACATCATGAATTGTTGCACTCAGCATGACACGCAAACCCTGTACACCATCTAAAGTAATCTTTTCAACTGCAGTTTCGCCACTGAGCTTCAAACCTTTTCTCCACTGAAACACAAATACAGTGGTATAAGAAACACACTTCAATGTACAGAACAGCAACAATATGAGAAAACAAGAGAGAGAAGATTTTGCTATGGAAACAAATATAAAGTGATAGAGAATACACACTTCAGCATACAAAATGACAACAGTATCAGATAACAAAAGAGAAAAGATTTAGTTAAGTACCAAGATTAAGTAGCAAATCACTGATATCCAGCCGGCTTATAATAATTACCAGATCATTTCAGGAACCCAAACCCAATACTGTTTCATATCATTTCAAATTGACAAAATAAATTCAATCCTTCCTGAGATACTGATTTTGACAGAAATCAAGTTCAATATTACACGACTCTTTTAAATGATTCCACAAACTGATGGCAATGGACTAAAAATTTGACAACTGTCCAAAGTAAAAATCTTTCCTGATGGAAAATAATTACAAATTTCCATATGACAAAAAATAAGCAATTAAGAACAAGTGATGACATGATGGTATATCTGTAAAAATAGATAAATGAGAGATATACTTCTCAATGAAATGGTGTTACCATTTCTAGTTAGAAAACATTAAAAAAAAAAAAAAACTATCAAATTGAATAAAAACTGGGCATATTGAAATGCCATAAACGTTTCATCATCTACATAATATACAAAATGCGCATCCCTCATTCATTGAATAAGAAGCAATTACATAGCCTCTTAACAATATGAACACATAATTTTTTAGTTTTCCAGAAAAGGAAGAGAGATTGAGAGAGAAAGAAATCAAAAGAGAGATATTATAACTAAGATACACAACACAATCCACAAACGCATCTACAATCTCGTTGGTCCATATTAGCTTTACATAAAACAGAGCCTAATTTCATCAAAACTGCATCAAACATTATGCATTTTCAGATTCCAAACAGCTTGAGACGAGTAATTGACACAAGAGAATCAAACTACATACAGAAGAGAGAGTCAATTAGGTAGAAAATAATTTCTTATTCACCTGGCAAGGGATATAAATAACTCCCTGGGTGCCACGTTGGTGTGTAGTGTTATGCAACAGAAACATAAACTCTAACGCTAGCTATTGAATATAATAATAACAAGTAGTAAAGCATAAATAAATAGCCAAAATTAAATGCAAAATAAAGAATACCAGGAATTAACGAGGTTCGATATAGAAACCTACGTCCTCGGACGCTGCAAAAAAAAACTCCACTATCTCCAAAACATTACAAACTTTTGGGCAATACAACAAATACCCAAAACAAAGGGGAGATACAACAAAACTTGCAAACTAAAGGGTCCTTAAAGAAAGAACCCTAAACAAAAGAAGTATAATGGAATTACAACTTGGGATACAAATAACAATGATTTAGGTCCTTATATATAGGCCCCAAAAGTTTCCCACTTTTCATTCCCAAGCAATGTGGGACAAACTAACATTTTGGCCTATTCCTATAAGTCCCTACACCTTTTTCCATTATCACTTCTACCCCCATGTGATTTGCTAAATGAGCCATTTTTCCGACATGTAGTAAGGTGTTGTTCGGCAAGAATTGTTGTAATATGGCGAAAGTTGCCGACATCATCAACCAATTTAGATTTCTCCAACCTCTGACCAATACTAGGTACCATAAAGACAAGGTGCTAAACTGGAACCTATATCAATCAAAACACATAATAAAAGATTAAAATCTACTCAAAACATATTATTCTTGTTTAAATAGTATCCATGGGGCTTGGGGTTGTATCCACATAACAACTCAATTAATTAATTGAGCACATCAAAGGACACGTTAGACCTTAAATATTATTGTTGTTCGTTCCTGTCAGCTTTAAACTTTAAAAATCAATCATTACCACAATATATTTTAGATAATATCATCATATAATAATTCAATACCAAAATGGAAGGGGCAAAAATAAACAATGCACAACTAAATAAGTCATAATCACTAGCTAAATTTAGGCCCAGTTAAAATGCAAAGGACATTTACTTTTACTAAGAGAACATAAACAACAACAAACCATTACCCAGATTTAGTTACAAAATGAAGACAGACAACAAACACAATTAACTTTTTATTTAAACAAGACTTATATAACATTTAAAAGAACGGGAAATAAACCATTGAATTGAACACAAAAAAAAAAAAAAAAAAATAGAAATTGAATATATATTCTAATTCATCATATGTTTTAAATTTATAAGAACCACTATAAATTGCCAAGCTTCCTGCTACCCTTATTCTTTCCATAAAATTGTAATGACTTCTTTCTACTAGTATACTTTAGAACATATACAATAAAAACATACATACTTAGCATATGAAAAATAGTTGGGCCCAAATTTTCTTTACTTATAAAATATAATTCTTTACATATACCAAAATAAAAAGTACAAAAACTTTAGCAACGGTGGACGGTAATGTCAATTCTCTCCGCTTGTCGACTTCTTTCCGACCGCTGCTCACCTATTTCCTGCAGAACATGGAAAAACAATGGGGTGAGCACAAAAATGCTCAGTAAGTAAATCCCTTATCTCTTCTCCTACTTTGGTTCCTTCCTTACTTAATTCTCTTCTTCTTTCTTTTGTTCCTAGTTCTTTCTTTTTTGTTTCCCTGTTTCTAATTCTTACTGTTCGTTCTTTCTTCCTAATTCTCATTTTCTTTCCTTCTCTCTGTTCTTTTGTTCTATTTTTTCTATTCTTTCTAACCATAGTGGAATTCATGGTAATATACATGAATGATATGCATATGCAATATTGCATAAAAATGCATTTTTCTTTCTTCTTTCTATTTCTTTTCTTTTCTTTTCTTTCTATTCTTTTCTTTTCTTGTTCTTGTTCTTGTTCTTTCTTATTCCTTCTTTTCTTATTCTTATTCTTTCTTATTCTTTGCCGATCGGACTCGGTTGATGCATGGATTCGGAACCTTGGCCGTGTGAACAATAGCCCAAGGTAGTAGTAATGTTGAAATGATTAAACTACGCACCAGGAAAATTCCCAGGAAACAATGGAGGGGTCACAAATGGTCCCGCTTAAATCCAGTCTCCTTAGATTTTATCGTCTTTTTGACAGAATTTTCCTAGACATGCATAACCATACAAATAGCAACTCATTGGTCCTAAACTACCATTATAGTAATACAAGTTGTTTCTCCTTGTGCCTTTCATTACCACAAGAGCGCCTGAAGAAACTTTTAGAATTCCATCTCGCATATTCACCGTAAAGCCTTTAGATTCTAAGGCTCCCAAAGAGATGAGATTCTTTTTCAACTTCGGTACATATCGAACATCTGTCAGAGTTCTAGTTGAGTCATCATGATTCTTCAACTGAATTGAACCTATCCCAGTTGTTTTACAAGCATCATCATTGCCCATATAAACAACTCCATCATGTTCTTCAAAATTAAAGAACCAATCCTAGTGAGGACACATATGATAGGTACTACCTGAATCCAAAATCCACTCATTTGATCCAGAGGTGGATGGTAGGCTAACTAGACAGAAATCTGACACCTCCTCTTCACGCTCAACAACGTATGCATCAGAAGTAACTTTGCCCTCTTTCTTTTGCAACTTCGGACAATCTTTCTTCCAATGCCCTTTCTCACGACAAAAGGCACATTGATCCCTATTGAGTTTTCCCTTTGAATGAGATCTTCCTCTTCTCTCCTTCTTACGACTCTAATTTTGACTCCGCCCTCTTGCTACAAGAGCTTCTGCTGACTCATCTCTATTCTCCTTCTGATCCTTCTTTCGAATTTCATGATTGGATAAAGCAGAACAAACTTCTTCAAAAGACAATTTTTCTTTCCCATGAAGAAGTGTAATACTAAGATAGTCAAACTCATTTGGAGGAGATCCAATTAACAACATAGCCTTATGTTCATCTTTGAATGTTTCATCCAAATTTAACAAATCGGCAATTAATCTGTTAAATGTATCAATATGGCTACTGATATTCGTACCTGGTCTCAACTGAAGACGAAACAGTCTTTTCATCAAATAGAGTCGATTCTCATTACTTCTCTTCATGTATTTGTTTTCCAGCACCTTCCATAACTTGTTGGCAAACGTCTCTTTCATGAATGGATATTTCTGCTCTCTACAAAGACATGAGCGAATCATCCCACACGCTTTTACATTCAACCTCACCTAGTCTTTCTCATAGACATCTTCTGGTTTTTCCTCCTCCAGAACGATATCTAGATCTTGCTGATACAAGCTATCCATTACCTCACTTTGCCACAAGCCAAAATTATTTTGACCATCAAATTTTTCAACATCAATTTTTGCATTTGAAACTGCTATCATCTTTACTGGTACAGATGGTGGTGCCGCAGACGGTGATACCTCAAACGATGAATCATCGGATGATGATGCCATTTATGCCTTACTCAATTGGCTTGGTAAACAAAATTCACAATAACCAAGCTCCACAAATTATTATATTCAATAGCTAACCAACAAATNTCCAGTGGTAACAAGGGGATTAGTTTCAGGAGTAAAATAAGAATATACAATTCATTGTTCTCATTTACATCAATGGGAGGGCATGTTGACCATGAGATTAACCAAGGGGATGGTCCATACGTTTTCAAACTCTGTGGACAGAATTACCACCGAATAGGATCGTTACTTCCACCTAAAGGAAGGAAACCTCAGTTTGCACAGCTTTATATTTATGACACAGAGTATAAAACCAGTCATAGATTAAATTCTGTATGAGGTAATATAGTTGATGCTACTGTTGACAGGGAATTAGTACAAGAATTGCAATTGATGTTTGATGCGAACAATGAATTGGTTAAAAGTTTTCATTCTGTCAGGGACCATATCCATTGGAATGATATTAGAGATGTGCATCTGCGGTTAAAAATGAAAAGGGAAAAGGATGGAAGACAATACAATTTGCCAATTGCATCTAAAATTGCGGGTTTAATTGTCGATGATATTGGAATTTCAGAAACTGGAAAAGATATCATTGTTCATCATTTGAAAAAGGGTCTTCAAAGAATTTCTGACTTGCATCCAAGCTTTATGACATTAAGTTATCCAATATTATTTCCGTATGGAGAAGATGGATACAAAATCGACATTAACCGTAAAGACTTTCTTAACAAAAAGTCTTCAAAGAGAAACAGGCTAAGCATGAGAGAATATTATGCATTTCGAGAAGATAAAATATGTTCCACTGTTTCAAGATATCTGAAAAAGGAGCACAGAGGAGATAAAGTAAAAACAATGGAAAATAATGTAAACATGAATCACCTCAAATCGCATAAACAATAAAGCAATGTTATAAGTGTGAGCCATAGCCTCAAAATTTGCAGGGTTATTTTCTGCAGATGTTGCTTGAACCCAGGCTGATGAAAGCAAAAGACTCACTTGATGGCTACTCAGTCAGAAGGAAGTTATCTGTGGGAAATAATTTAGACAGGTAGATGATTAAACAGAATTTCTAAAACACTCTTTAACTTAAAATTATAGGATTTTGGGGTTTCATACAGTTTTTCCATCAATCAGAGCACACTTAAAGCTATATGACTGACTATGAGAGTGTTTCACATTCACATCTGGTACCCGACTTTCCTCCTACAGTCCTCCATCCATGAGTTTTTCTTTTTCTTTACCTTCATCCTGAAAGGAGAAACTTCCACTTCTTACTTTCTGTGACACAGAGACTGGCAAGATGCTATAAATAGCTTGCAAAGTATCCTTGCCCTGATCTGACCAAGGAGAGAGCAAAGATGGGATTAGCACAACAGAAAATACACTATGCGCCCCAACTCAGGTTTCATGGTCCGTCTAAGCCATTGCTAGGAGTAATTGATGAAACAGAGCATCAGGAAAAGCCTGAAACAGAAATCCTCAAAAATTAGATGTTTCTCCAAATTTCTTAAAACTGAACAGTGTATTGCAATTTCAACAAGTACACTTGCCTTCTTGTAATATGATATGTTCGAGATGGAAGAGACAATCTGAGCAGTTCTATGAACAGCCGAAATTGTTGTTCTAACAATAACTGTATTATTAGAAATATTCTCTAGCAAACTAGACATCATATCAAGAATGGGTCCCGCATCGCCAACCTGTTAAGCACCTGCATAAATATTTTTAACTCACACTTCAAAAAATTAAACAACATAAACAATCACAAACCTTCTTTGAGAGCTGTGAAATGCAATTTTCTAAGGCATATTGAAGATCGGCATTCCATTTAGCCATATCATCCACAACATTGGATAATTCAGTTGCATTTTGCAGGCATTTTCAAAACTGTTTAATCAAGTCGGTTATTGCACCAATGATAGCGACAGAGGTCTGCAGCTTCGCATTTTGTGTGAGTTGTGTGGCAACGTTAACAGTATGAATCTGTGCACGAGGTTGTTTGGCAACATTCTTATGATCCAAGTGCTTGATCAAGATAGATAGCAACAAGTGGGAGTTTCCTCCTGGAGATTGAACAAAAAAAAAAGTTCATATCAATTATATCGACAAAAAAAATAATTGCAACAAGATGGAGCATTAAGATTCCATATGTAACCTGATTCCTCCAAAAGCGACTACAGGTAAATTATAACAGAGCAGGCAAACATTGCCTCACTTCCTTACCAACCTCTGGTTTCATTTGAAGATCGAGGTAGTTCTCCAACGTCACTGAAATAATCTATTTCAGAATGGAAAATTACTTCAAATTAATATGAAAAGCAAACATTGTGCACACTTGCTAGTGTACCTCATAGTCTAACTTAAAATATAATAAGAAAAAAATAATGTTTCTCAAAATTCACCAATAAACTAGATGACATTAATTATATGTATCACATAAGCAGAAAACACTAATAAGAGCCAACAAGAGGAAAAGCAAACTCACACTGTCAAAGTCCATTGAGATATGTGATTCCTCACCCCTGAACCAAACCTAAGCATAGGAAGTGGGAAAAGATTATTAAAAGTGGCACAACATTAACAAATGAAATCTCTACATTTGAACCAAAAAATAATTAAGTTTGTCAATAGAATATTTTGGAGTTATGAGAAAAGAATTTAATAATGATCTATTCATGTATTAAAGGCCAAATGATAAAATAAATTCAACGTCCTCTAAGATTGATAGAAGGGGCCTGTTGACAAGTACAAGAAGTGACAAACAATGTGGTCCAGAAAGGTAATGCAGAGAACCAGCTTGCTACTAGAACAAATTTCATGTTCAATCACTGTCTCCTGCAAGCAAGAAAAAGTAATGCCACACCCACATTCTTAAACAAGGAATGTGTTGGAAGCTATGTATATACATAATCAAGGGTATATATGTAATTGTAGTGTGTGTGTATATATATATGTTAGGTTGTACTGTTGAGAAGATAGAGTATAGAAATTGAAAAACGCAAATATTCAAAACATGGTATCAGAGTGGGACTAAACCCTAAAACCCATTTCTACGTTTCCGTTTTTTGGCTACCGGCGATTCCGACTAACCTTCTGTCCATGGTTTATCTCTTTCCGATGACGTCTGAATCTTTTCGACGAAACCTCGACCTTCTCTGTTATCTCCGATGATGTCTGCTCTTGGTTTCTCTCTTTCCGACAACTTCTAGTCTCGGCCTCTCCCTTTCCAGCAAATGCTGGTTCTGTTCTAGTTAACTTATCCCCTTCTTCTGCTCATTTCGGCGATCTCTCCTCTGGTTCCTCTCTGTTCATCTCGATTTTCCAATGTCACAATCCCTTTGCTTCCTTCGATGACGTGATTTCTTTACTCTTTCCGGTGGCTAGCAATCTCTCCTCTAGTTTCTGTCTGATCGGCTGTTCCCAGTGCTTCCTTTTACAAGAAAGTGGTTCGTATCTTTTTGGTTCTTTGAGATTGGGGTGCATTTGTGTTTGCTTGGGTTGTTTGGTGTTGATGTTGTTGTGAATCTATGAAGTTGAGAGTTATTTGACCTTGTCGATTGCTAGACACTATGGCAGAGGACAGAAAGAAGATGGTGACTGAAATTGTCACTTCTTCCACCAAAATCTTTGATCGGAAGTTATTGGGAAAAAAGAATTATATTTAATGGAAACAGATTATTCGATGATATGTGTCAAACATTGACATGGGAGACCATTTAATTGAGGATCCACCTAAGGAAACAGAAAGTGATAATAAAACTCGAAAAAAATGGTCATAGAAGATGATAAGCTCTCCAATCAGATTCAGAACACTCTCGATTCGTCCGTGGATGATGTGACTAGTCACTATGATACCGTCAAAGAGTTATGGGAGTATCTAGAGTTCTTGTATGTTGGTAAACAAGACTTGTCTCATGCCCATGAATTGTTATTGAAGATCTACCGAGAAAATATGCAAGTGAAGACGTTGTTTGAATATTATACAGAGATAAAACAAGCCTTTGAAGAAAAAATGGCTATGTTTCTTGTCCCCTAGTGATGTGAAGATGATGCAAGCACAAGAAGGACAATGGGAGTGCAATGTTTTCTGGTTGGGTTGAGGCAGGAATATGAGATAGCTCATACATAGCTTCTTACTGGCGAGACACTTTGGTGTGCTATCATAGGCAACCAATAGTAAAACCTAAAAACACATGTAGTAATGTGAGTAAGGATCATTCCCACAGAGAGTGTCTAGCCGAGTTTTATGTTACGTGAACAAGGCTAGAGGGGTTTGAGTAAAACAGAAACAGTTTAAATTAAATTATCAATCAGAATAACAAACCTTGGTCTAAGTCAACATTCACTATCGGAATTTTACAACTGATCATCGATGCAACTATATATCAATTCATATTTTGAGTATTCACCGTTGGAACTATTTTCTTATCTCTCCTTAGTTGTAGTTAATTAGGAAACAAGCGATCCAATTAATCTTACTACTAAACAACCCCAGACAAGCGCTAAAGGTTTAATCTCGTGGCAGCCTTAAGAACTAAAGAGATCAGTGAAGCTTAACAACACAAACACAAGTGGTTGTATTTAATTTAGTTGAATGTTCTTCTTAAGATTTAATAATTCCTGACGCAACAAACTCTTAAACCTTAATTACTCACAAGTTAAAGGGATCAAACAATTACGGATTTGATATCTAACTTAGCAGTAGATTGCAACAAATAATAAACTAGTAGGCCTCCTAGTAATTAAATGAAACGATCACGAAAATAAGCATAGAAGAACATCCAATACTCAAAGCATATATTGAACACTAAAAACAGATAGATCTCATAGTTTTATTGATTCCGAGGCCTCCGTTTCCTTCGACCAAGTTATGAAAGTTTTAGCTGTCATGGCCATAATCAAAACTCAAAAGAGAAAAATTGCAGGAGCAGAAAGAGAGAGGCGTGTGTGTCCTCTCTAATCTGATCTCTCTCCCCCTTTTAAGAATATCCAAT